GGTCGGTGTGTCGATGTCGGCGCTGGGCGACAGGTGCTTCCGCATTTGAATGTCAACGGAAACCGCAACGGTACAACTTAGATAAACGTTTGCTCTTTAAATATGTGCGCTGTCGCTGGAGCTGCCATTGAGCATAAACGAGCACGAGCCCCTCGCATGTAGGCATCTACACACACATCCACACACACACACACACACACACACACACTCACACATAAAGTACCTTTATTGAGCGGCAGTCACCATGTTTGAGCAACGGTACTCGCACTTATGTGTCAAGCGAGCTTGAGAGCCCCAGCAACATGGTGAAGTGGTTTTTGGCTTTGGCCATGGCTGTGGTTATGGACTGCGCCTGATTGGATGGCTCTTTGCTTAGCTTATTGCCAGCTCCAGAGGATGCCAACTTAAAGATAGCTACAATATTTGCACTCTAAAATTGATTATGCACATGGCAAGGTGGAGAAACTTTAATTATAGATAAAGTCACAGGCATTTGCCAAAGCGTTCTCTTTTTACCTTTTCAAGTCAATATGATGCAGATATTTAAATGTTTAAGAATTTATCTAAATTGCTTAATCGCAATATATAGAAAAATATCATACAAATAGAAAACAATTTTTACTTTTAAATAGAATTTGTGAGAAATTTGAGTAAATTATGAAGGCAAAAAGCAAATAATTTCTTTTAAAACATAATTTTACATGTTTTTTTTTTTCCAATATTTTGGCTCCACTTAAAATACACTTTAAATGTTTAATTTGCACAAGAGCAAAGTGACATTTTGACAACCGGATCGGGGTGTACAGATATTCAGTCGATAATTCGATTATATTTAAATCAATTTTCATTCAATTTAGACAATTTTCTCTACTAATTAAAATAAGCCCAACACAATCACCTGCCGTTTGCCAAAACCCAATAAAAACTAGGAAATAAAACAACAATTTAAGCAGCACGTTTAAAATTAAATACTCTTCCCTACTGATCCCAAAGTTTGATATTAAGTAAGGAAAGTGAACTTTGTGATAAAATTCTTTCTTAATTATTTTAATTTTTATAACATACATTTTTTAAATATGTTTTTTTTTTATATAATTAAAATTATTAATAAATAATTTTTTTAGATATAACAATATAACATTTTAATTTTAAGTTTATTTTAATTTGTATATTATTTATTTTTTAAATATATTTTTTATATAAATAAAATAATTAATAAATAATTTTTATAGAGATAACAGTACTATAGCATACACTTGTAAAATGAGGAAAGGATTATGATACAAAATAAATAAATAATAAGAAAAATAAAATATTAATTAAAAATAAATAAATATATGTTAGTAATTATATAATATATTATCACGAACATTTATTTCTACTACTTTCAAAACTCAGCTACCCTCTGCCAGAGTATCAGTAAACTCAAATGCTAAAATCAATTAACAATAAATGTGGACGATTAAATTCAATGTGTGGAACAGAGAGAAATTTTTCAACGTCACATAGAAAAACAGGCCACTTAATTAAGCCCGGCCTGGCCGGCAATGGCGCAGCAGAAGTAGCCAAACTCAACCCCAGGGCTAGAAGCCACATTTACACTGTCGAACATGGTCGAACGTGTTGGCAATGCCGTTGCCAATGCACCCATTTTAAGTGCGAAACAATGTAATTTCAGGGTAATCAGTCTGGGCTGGTTTAGAATTTAATGCCGGGCTCAAACTGAAGAATTTACTTTTTTCGGACGACGTCAATGAGGAACTACACAAATTTCCGGCTGTGCGCGCAAAGCCCATGGCCGGGGCATACTAAACGAGTGGGTTCACTCGATTCTCCACTTGGCCAGAAAAATGTCAGTTTACGATTTTCTATGCCATTTAAAATAAAATGAAAATTGCGCTCGTCCGAGCACTGGGGTGTGGCATAGTTTTAGGCGCTGGCCAGCGCGTGTTAACGTAAATAAATTACATGGCTACACACACACACACACACAGGCACACAGGCACACACACACACTGGGAGAGTGGAAGCGACAATCAAGTGGTCAGTGGCATGCAGCTTATAAATCAGCGCAAAGCGCAAAACGTTGCTGCCTTTTGGGGCACGGCTACGGCCATCGAGATAGATGGCCAGCAATGCGGGTCGACCCCCGGCGCCCGGGTCGGAGAAATTGACAGAGTCTGAGTTGGCAATGGATGAGCGAATGAATGAATAGATGGATGGATCGTCTGTATAAATGGTTAGCTATTTAGTTTCGGTTTGCTGCGGTTTGACTTTGTTTTCGCCTGCCAATGCATTGGTCCGACTCAGCTCCACCCATTTGCCGGGCATACACATAATGGCCCCGTTTGCCTTTAATGTTGGCCCAAATCGAATGCAGTAAACATACATACAATCCGAGCTCGCAATTAAAAATTAACTGGCAGCCTGGTTGGGTCGCTGACACAAAGCTGTTTAGCCGCTTTGTGGCAATTCGGCCACAAAATAATTATTTCAAGCTATTTTGTATATATACCCAGAATAATGACATTTTTAATATCAATCAGAAACAAAAGGAACTGAAATGAGATCGTATTTCTTTGCTTCTCTCTCTCTCTCTATCTCCCCACACGAGACTGGCTTAGCCAGAGCAATCACAGGTTAAAGATATAAATTCCCATGCCTGGACTATTGCTATGCATTTATTTAAATGGCTTTCTCTTGCATATTTTTTGGCTTGCTGCACTATTCACCGCCACCAGAGCCCCAAGCAATCAAGCGTCGCGACTCATGCCGCTGTCGTAGTGGGAAAAACACAGCTGCCCATTGAAGCAAACAAAAGCCCCAAGCCCCGGACGAAAATATTCTCTGAGCCTCGCGCACTACAAAAGCAAGAACCGCTCGCTGAGCTGAAGCCAGTTACCATGAGGGCAGCAACGTCGCGAGTCAAGCAGCTTATCTTACTACTCATCGTCTGTGGTACATTGGGCGACAGCCACGCCTACGAGGTGCCCCCGGTGACGGTCAAGGTGAACAGTCCAAAGGGTTTTGAGGTCTCCATACCCGATGGGCCGGGAATTTCACTGTTCGCCTTCCACGGCAAACTCAATGAGGAAATGGATGATCTGAGCGATCAGACGTGGGCCACTGATATCGTTACGCCGCGTAATGGCCGCTGGACTTATATTAATCGGCTGCAAAAGCTTCAGCCAGGCGATGTGCTCTACTACTGGGTGACTGTCCGATATAACGGTTTGGACCATCATGCGTATAACCAGAGGTACCAGGTAGGCCCAGACGATGTCAGAAGCCAAAATACGACGATTAATTTGACCAAAAGAGACGGAACCAATTCACAAATCATTATCAATGGGAATCCCACCATAAATATTTATGTTTCATAACTTTGAATAGGTTTCCAGACGTAGGCCAAAAAAATGTTAAATTCTAGCTTAGGAAATTTCAATGCTGTATTAAATTATTAATTGGTGAATATGAACAACAAAAATATGTACACAAAATTGTTAAATAATTTTGTTGTTGAATATAGAAATAAATAAATGATTAAATTTAAGCGAAGCAAAATAAAATCTAATCGTAAATACGAAAATGCTTTCGATCGAATGTATATTTATATAAACATTTATACTGCTAAAGTCAATATATGTATGTATATTCATCTGGTATTTACTCATCATTTGAATTAATTATAGATTTTGGAATGTTATGTTCTTACGTGTGAGCCCCACTCAGTGAGTTTCATTCAAAATCTTTTTTTCTTACTTTACTTTCTTAGCAGATTTCGCAATTCTGATTGGATTCACCAGGTTTGTCCGATCTTAATTAACATTTCAAGTCTGTTTGTTTGCATAATGATCTTTGATATGTTCTCGAATATTACAATGAACTAAACGTGACTAATGTGTCGTATTTCCCCAATTCTTAACATCTTAACTACTCATTAAAACTAACAACTAATAATTTTACAATTTACCATTGAATAGTCACCAAATTCAAGTTAATTACCGTTTTAAACTTATTACACTGAAGAAAAACTATAATACTAGTAAGCTTATCTGATTAAATGTTGTTACCTGAAGAGTAACATCATTTAAGCTGTCTCAACATTCTTTTAATAAATTCCAAAAGTGAATGAAACCCACTTTGAATAGACAAAAATATATATATTTAATTTAAGTATCTACATTGTATACATATATAATATAAAAAAAAAAAAAAAGGTTTAGCATATTTTCATCTAAGCAACATAATAAGAATCAAATCAATTATTAAACTTGATTATTTGGCATAATGTGAAACATATTAGATAGAAAAATTTTTATATAAAATACATAGATATCCAAATTCAAATCAAACAGAAACATTTTTTTGTTATATCTTATTTTTCTATTAAGTTTTTGACCCTCTAAACCAATTATCATAATAAATCATTTATCATATAAGAACCAACCACACTTCATCTCTAGCAAAAATGTCTTTATTACAGAGTCAACCCGAACTTTAGTTTTCAGGTCGTTAAATACGTCATACACGTCGCCTGGTTAGCTGACAATTCTGACATTTCTCAGAGGGCGGGTGTGGAAACATGCAGCCAAACACATGCTCATAAATACATGGCCAACATTCCTTGGGTCTTGGCAGCATTAACAACAGTAACCATTTAAGTAACTGCCGCAGTTGCTTGGAGACAGAGAAAGAGAGGGACAGATATAGAGAGAGATAGAAGAAGCGACTGCAGCTGTGCCAGAGATAGTTGTGGCCCAATGCGAGTAACTGGCACAAAGCAGATCGGCTCAAGCCGCACACATGAGACAGGAGCTGACTGTCTTAGCCAGTGCATGGCCACAAGTAAAAGCTTTAAGCTCTCGCTATGCAAGTATTTAAGCAAGTTATTTGAATGGCTTTGTGTTGCATATTTCTTGGCTTGCTCCCAAACAATAAAGCGTCTCGACTCGTGCCGAGGAAAAACGCAGTTTCGCGCACTACAAAAGCAAGAACCGCTCGCTGAGCTGAAGCCAGTTACCATGAGGGCATCAACGTCTCGAGTCAAGCAGCTTATCTTACTGCTCATCGTCTGTGGTACAATGGGCGACAGCCACGCCTACGAGGTGCCCCCGGTGACGGTCAAGGTGAACAGTCCAAAGGGTTTTGAGGTCTCCATACCCGATGGGCCGGGAATTTCACTGTTCGCCTTCCACGGCAAGCTCAATGAGGAAATGGTGGGTCTGAGTGATCAGACCTGGCCAACTACTGTAGTCACGCCACGTAATGGACGCTGGACCTATATTAATCGGCAGCAAAAGCTTGAGCCAGGCGATGTGGTCAATTACTGGGTGACTGTCCGATACAATGGCCTGGACTATCATGCTTATAACCAGAGCTTCCAGGTAGGCCCAAACGATGACAGAAACCAAAAAACTACCATCAATTTGCCCTCAAGAGATGGAGCCAAATCAGATATAATTATCAATGTAAATCGCAATATAAATATTTATGCTTGACAACTATACAAAATATCCAAGCCAAAAGAAATCAAATCAAGATTAGGAAGCTCTAGTTCTTTTTTAAAGTAATAATTATGAGAATATATAAGAAAAAATAATGAAAAATTCTTCAATTATTTTAATGGTGGAAGTAGAAATAAATGAGTGATTCAATATATCATATCCTCTTCGTTGTATTAAAAGTAAAGTGTATATACGCAAATGCTAATTAATAAAGGTTTTATAAATCTTTTTTTCTTGCGTGGCTCCAATTGGTCAGCATTTTTTTACAACTCTTTCCTGATTCTATCAAGTTTACTTGATTTTCATTAACATTGAATGATTCTTTCTTGTTTAGAAAATTTTTTATTATTAACGAATATATGTATATTTTTAGTATAAATCTGCATATCATTATATATTTATTTTTGCCACCAATTTCCTAATATTTAAAAAAAAAAACAATAATACGAATCGAAATTATTTCGAAAATTTACAATAAATTCCCTCCACTCACCTTATTTGATTGAAAACTGGTTGAAAATATTTGTGGCCATATTAAATATCTGAGTGTTGCCAATAACAACAACAAATTTCGGACTCTGCACATGTCAAACTCATTGCGCAATGCATTGTTTGCCAAAGTGCCATAAATCAAAGGAGCACTTTGTCACAGATACGCAAGTAAGTATCCGGGCCGTATAAATCATGTTGAAAAGTTCTCCGCATGCGTGTGAAATACTGTGCGAGTAATGGCTGCTTCAGAATTATACTAAAACAAACAAACAAATAAGAATGCCAACTGGATGTCGCCCTGCACAGAGGAGAGCTCGTATAGCTAAGCATATATAGGGACTTCAATCATAATTCACCATGCTTCAGTTATATTAACTGCATACGTCTAATATTACTAATTTAATTATTATAATAATGGAAATAGTATGAAATGATGGAAATAGTATGATATATTTGGAGTATGAATAGTATGGAAAGGTAGAAATAATATACATATAAAACAGTACGAAAAATTATAACTAGTAGCAAAGTATGAAATAATATGAATAAAATGAAATAGATGTGACATATGATATATACATATAATATAATACATATAATATAATATAGTGTGAAATAGTAAGGAATAGTATGGATAACGCAGAAATAAAATAGTAGCTAAATACGATATACAACACTCAAGAGTATGAAATTGTGTGAAATAACGAAGAAATAAAATAGTAGTAAAAAAGATTTATTTAATATGAAATAGTATGATTTTGTGTGATATAGTATAAAAACGAATCGATATCACAGAAATAAAATAGTAGTTAGTTAAATAGTTAAATACGATGTGCAACACAAAACAGTATGAAATTGTATTAAATAGTATGAAATATCATGGATAGTATAGTACTAAAACATGTTATAAGCCACAAAACAGTTGGCAATCCCACAAAAAACATTACTTACAATTTGCAGAGACATCTGGAATCTCCAAGCAATCAATATCCGTAACTGACCAAGTGTTATTTTTTCTAAATCTGGTTTTCCTCATTTTTACTCAGATGGGGGCTTCGTTCCGCATGCCAATTGCATTATTTACAGCTTCATAGCAAATTATAAAATCGGCTAATTTAAGAAACGGATTTTTCAATTTTGGTTTTTAATTAGTTCAAGCTGTATTTCAGTATTTATTTAACTAATATTTTAAATACATATTCTATTATTCTAAAATGCAGATTCATATATGCCATTGCTTCTCATTACAACTACTCTTTTTTTTTCATTTCTTTTTTCTTTTTTACCAACAACAATGAAGATTATACGTTTTTAATAATTAATTTCAAAGAAAGATTACTTACATTTATATAAAACTGATATAATATAATATAATATAAATTAAATTTATAAGAATTGTTGTATTGTATACAAATATTACGTATACGTAACTGCCTAAACCAAAATCAGTTTAAGGTCCTTATATTCAGAACGCTTCGATAGTTTTCCTCCTTATAGAATCCAAAGGTCTTGATTCCATTTTTTATACATTTTGATACCAAGGCATAAAAAACAATTATTATATGTAGATAGTACTCTAAACGAGTTTGTTTAGTTGAAATCAACAAAAATGAAAAAATTATTTGTTCACAAAGCAAACCTTAATTAGAAACCAGGCTTAAAGCTGTTTCGCTTAAAATACACTTAAATTAAAAAAAAAAAAAAAACATTTCTAAGAATATCTGCTACGACTATTTACAATAACTGCCGCAACTTTTGAATGCCTCTATACTTTAAATTGGCATAGAACACAAGAAAAGGTAAACAAAATGGAAAAAAACTAAGGGATATAAAAAAGAATAATGCACAAAACTATTCACGCAGGTAGTTCTGATATCTGAATCGAGCACATTGGCCTTTTGCTGGCAAATATACGAGTAAACAACTGCATAAAGGTTACTTTTGGCCCATTTAACTTTCACTTGAGGCAAACAAAAGCAGATAAAACTTTCTGCTTAGCCAGGGCAAGCACAATACAAAGTAACAAATCCATTCGACTTTTATCTGCACAAGTGTTTAGAAGTTTTTCTCGTCCTTTTTTCTTGTTTTGCTTGCTTCTTTTTTTTCATAGTCCAAAGTGCTGATATCTGTTGCTGCTTGAAGAAAAATGACAAATGGATATATCTTGTAATTATTGTTTGTTTATAAACTGAAGCTGAAATAACTACATCTACTCTTTTTATAGGATAATACGGCATGAGCGGAACTAGCTGAAGATTGTAAGTGCAAGTTAAAATTTTGCAAAATTTTTAATAAGCTAACATTTAAAATATATATGTTTACTTATTTATTTATGTATTTATTTATTTATGTATTTATGTATTTATTTATGTATTTATGTATTTATTTATTTATTTATTTATTTATTTATTTATTTATTTATTTATTTATTTATTTATTTATTTATTTATTTATTTATTTATTTATTTATTTATTTATTTATTTATTTATTCATTTATTTATTTATTTATTTATTTATTTATTTATTTCGACTGTATTCTAAATTGCCTAATTTTGTTCAAAAGGATCTTAATATATATTTTTATTGCTTCATCAGGATAAAGTAGAGGCTCAAGCGTAGTTGTAAAACTTTTATTCGAGTTGGTTTGCGTCTTCGCTAAACTCTGATCAAAATCTCTAATTGTCATTCTATGAGAAGGAGAGAGACAGAGAGCAAGATGATAGTGTTGCCTAATGTAGACCCTTGTATTGTGAGTGTTGTACGTGAGAGCGAGATGGCTGCTTACAACGTGATTGTTGATGGACGAAGAAAAATGGAATTGAAATTGTCACACTCGGTGAGCAGACTGATCAGCCAAAGCTTTGTTGGTCGTATATTAAAATCGGAAAGATGAACCAATTTATATATAGACTTATATATAATTGTTATCTTATTTAATTTTTAAATATTTCACATCTGTATAAATGTTTTTATTTGCTATACTAGTCTGCGTTGGTAACAAACACACCTTCACATGTAGTAAATATGAAATATATTAGAGCACTCTAAACATTTGTCTCCATTTCGAGCAATTTCTGAAAATTCGTTTACCTGAGAAAATGTCCTGGCCACAGCTAATTACAAGTTAAGGCCGACTCAGCTGCCAGGGTTCCATTAGTCGAGCGGCCTGTTCTATATGAGAAAGTAACTGCAGCTTGTCCGGTCTGCGCTTGACCCGTGTGCATGACCGCTTTTAGTGCGAGCACTTGAGTGTAGACAGCAAGGCGGCCAAAAAGAAAAGTACACAAAGCTGAGTAGACCTGATACATAGATATAGATATATAAAGTATATATGTATGTGTGTATATGGGGATGCCACATAATAGGCGTATTAATTAATGCCGGAATTTGCGCCAGCTGCATTCTTCACAGCTCATTTGAAGCAAATTAAGCATGTCGACCAAGAGGTAAAACTCATTTTAATTTTCGCATAGCCGACGGCTATTTCTCCAGATATATATATATATATATATATATATATATATATATATATATATATATATATATATATATATATATATATATATATATATATATATATGTGTATTTGTATTATGTATATATATACATTTTATATATATCATATTTTAGCTGTGAAATGGGAACAGCTAAGTGCCGCTGTCAGCAACATTTGCGAACTGTTCTCATTTTCTCATCTCGCGCCATGTGTGAGAGTTACAAAATGCAAGCTAGCTGCAAGTTTGTGTCACTTGTCACCCGCACACACACACACAAGGGAAGCCCTATTTAAAGCACCACACACACTTATGCTTCATTTAACTCCCACACACACACACGCACACGCACACAAAGCTTAAACACTTATACAGACCAGACACTTTGGACGCCATTTTGCACGTGGCAAGGCGTTAAAATGACTTGTGACAACTTTATGTGCAGCCCGCAGTTGTTGACGGATGCCCACCTCTCCAGCTGCCCCGCCCCGCCCCGCCCACTTCTCTGTGGTAAGAAAAATACAGTCACAAAATTATGTCATCAAGTTGCAAGCAGCTGAGGCATAAAATACGCTGCTTTAATTTTCCTGTTTGCACTGCAAAACTATAAAAATTTCATTCTCAAGTTTAATCTGGAAGTTACCACATCATATTTATAAGTCTCAGGAATTATGTTTAACCTGACAGCAAAGGAAATATTATCCTTAAAAGTCTTTAAAAGTCCCTTAGTATTAAACTATTTATTATATATTTGTATGATTTTAATTTGTGAAAATCTTGAAAAAAAAATATATATATTTATATATAAAGTCTAGATTAGTATTATCTCCCAACGCAAGTAGCTCTTTTAACATTTGAATGATACATGTTTGCTCTTGTCTAGAATTTAGAGATAAGTAAAATATTTTTCTTGTAATTTTTGTTGTCTTCCTACAAAGAAGGCTAACAACTACAGAGTACTCAAATTTCAACGTTCCAACTCGAGAATAGGAAGCCCCATGTTGGCGGTAAGCTCAAAGTGAAGCCACTGAAATAAGTCTGAAGTATGGCAAATTAATTATAAAAGATTCCGCCAAGTTAAATATTTTTCTCCAGTTAAGTTCAAAGTTGCGGAGACGCCCCATTGTAAAATAAGTTGCGACTAACTTGACTCACATTTGTCACACACACACACACACACACACACATCGTGCTGGCTGGAGTCAAGGGGTTAGAGAGTGAATGAATGGACCCACGACTCTACGTCTACAGGTGGCAATGGCAATGGCAGAGCTGCTGCTGCTGCTGCTGCTGCCTGCCTGCTGCTTGTCACTTGTGGAATTTGCGTAGCTGCGGGTAGCCTCCCCCCACCCCCAGGCACCGCCCTCAACTGATGTATGGCAGTTTGAAATTAGTAAGAGTGCAAAATGTAGGACGAACAGCGGGACACATGGCTCACATTTTTCAGACTCAACAGAAAAATTGTGCATAATGTGTATTACTTTATCATAGTATTCCAAATGTCATGGCTGAACTATATAGAGGAAGCATGGCGCGAAAAAGCTGATGGACCTTTTGCTGAAGGGCAGACAGGTTCTATATACTAACTGTTATTATACAATCTTAATTGTATATTTTTTAGAATGCGTTAGACATAAGAGAGTTAGCCTAGCTGGATTCAATCTGAAAATAGCTTAAATTTAATTATTTTTAATTTTATTTTGCTTTACTACCAAAATGCGGAGGAAGACGTCGCCGTAATGTATAAGTTATATATAATATAATATAATATAATCATAACTAAATGTTCTCTAAGGGGACTTTCATGTATTCATATTCATTATCAAAACAAAAGTACGAAAAGTCACGAAATCCCATACATCAAAGATCCCACTCGGAGTAGAGGTTTGCACTTATCTATCCAAATTCATTAGAATAATTCTCAGAAGAATCGTGCTTAAACAATAAACAGAACTGAATAGCAATTTGAGTATATATAAGTATCGTCTTCGTCTTCTTTAATGAATTGTCAGGAGGTACAATTAATTGCAAAAATTTTGATTAGGTCACCAGTAGAAATAGTTTTGGAATGCGCATTGAATTATTTATTTATGCAAATTGTATACATACATTTACTCATTCATTATAGTACAAGCTCTAGAAACGAAAATTGCCCAGATTGAATGCGAGATCTTTTTCGAATTGCCCCATTGCGTGGTTAATCTGCGTGGATATATTTTTTTGCAATTGAGACAAACTTGTTTGCAGATTTGCAACATCCTGTGCGGCATCCTCCTGGAGCTTCTTCCGGTTGTCGTACGAATAGCGATTGCCACTGAAGAGTCCACCATCGGCCTTGGCCATCACAGTGCCATCGGCCAGCTCGACAACAATGTTGCCGTTATCATACTGCAGCGTAGCTTGTTGGCCATTGATTTCGATTTGCTCCTTGGAATTAACGCTAGCGTCCTTGGCCGGGAAATCGTAGCTTTTGCCGGCGACTGTCAGCCGTAGTCCGCCATTGATAAGCTGACTCCGGTAGTTGTTGAAGGTCTGGACGCTACCCTCGCCGGTTTGAGATATGATCACTGTGCCGTCATTGATCAAATTCTGGCCACCCTTTTTTCCTTTAATTACAACATTACGGCCTACAAAAAAGTTGCCATCATCGCCGAAGGACGTGTCCTCGTCACTATCATCGGCGCTAGTCACAAGCGTCTGACCATTAGCTCCAACCAGGACCGTGCGCCCATCGGGACGCTTATAGATGCTGCCAGCCTCGTTTTGCAGCGCAACATTGCCGCCCCGATTGTACAGGACGTTGGGCACCGGCTGAGCCGGCTGAACCGGCTGAGCTGGCTGAGCTGGCTGCGAGTCCTCTGGCATCGTTGTGCCAGGAATCGACGTCTCCACTCCATTGCTACGATCCACAAAGCTTTTGGGTGGCAGTGCTGCAAAGAGGACGATCAGTCGCTGGTCTAAGAATAAATGAGCCCTTTAAAACTATTTACCGCTGGCCAAGCAAACAGCGAGTGCCGCTAGGCCGATCATCATGAGAAGGCGAGACATGTCGAATTGGTGCAACGGGTTGACTATATAAATGCAGTGCTAAACGCTCGCTTTTTATACGGCCGATCGATCGAGTATCAATTTCTGTGTATTCAGTAGTATATTCAATGTATTATTGAACGTGTGGGTAGATATCGCAGAGAGGTCGACGGTATGCAACCTCTGGGGAAAAAGCCAGAAACGATTATGACGAGTCGTTCCGCTTCTACACGATTTGTAATTCTCGATCGCTCTGAGATCGTCTAGAAACTGTTTCCCGACTTCGGCTCACGCCTCGCGAACGACCAAAAACGCTGAGTGCCAAAGCGAATCTGAGTGAAATACTCAAAAAAAAAAAAACGGTGTGCAAATTATCTAAACTGTCGCAAAAATTCATAAATTGGCGGATAATTGAGAGAGAGCGGCAAGAAAATATTAGAAAACAGTGAGAAAAATAAAAACAATTTAGATTTAAATGAATTATTACAATTTAATAGAAACAAAGCAAAATGAAAACAGAAAAAAATTAAATGATCGACTATTAAATGTCCTTTACCTAGAACAAAGCTAGTTTATTTATTTATATTTAAAATGAATAGAAAAAAATTAGTAAAATATATATATTTTTTAATGAAAATAATTTTAATAAAATAAGTTTTTAATTAATATTAACTGAATACATTCCTTATTATTTTTTCTCAAATTATTCATATTACTATTTAGACTATAAGTCTAATAAATATCTAAAGAAAAAAAATTTGTATAATATTTATATATATATATATATATATATATATAAACTTCACTTAATACAAATTTAAAATTTTTTTTTCAGTTATTCTAAATCATTTGCTATAAGTACAGAGTATTTCCAAGTCTGTTAATTTTTTATATATATTAAATTAAAGTCTTTAATTTTAACGGCAGCTAATTGAAGTGTGCACAAGATTATAATATGTGCTCTTCAATGTATATATGTTTGTATAATTCATCTTAGCTGATAGTAAATATATTTATATAAACGTATGTATACATATATGTATACCTGTCACAGGTAAAGCAAATAGCACTTGGGAAATCCCCTTCATGGCAAACATTTGCATTCGCACCTCAGAGAATACTTGTTTCTTTAAGCTTACCCGTACGTACTTAGGTCACAGGTTTATCGCTCTGGTGGGGAATACACACAAGAATTCCGATGGCTTATCAGCTTATGAGACAAAGAGAGCATAAGCGCAAATACACATGAATGCATATATGTATGTATGTACATATATACTTATCTATTTACTTTAATCGAACGCAAATAGTGTATTTAAACACGAATTATCAGTGCTGCTCGAGTGTCGTACTTCAAATGGCCTTCACATTGCTCATTAGCTATAAGCCATCATTCACAGCGAAGAAGTGAGGACTGCCTGTCTTAAACTGAATTAAATGATAATTTAAAAAAAGTTAAACTCTTAGCTAACAAGATTATAAATATAAATGTGTAGATAAATATTAAAGGGCTTAAATTTATTTCAAGTTTAAATAAAATATCAACAGAGCTCAAAGTTAAAGTCATATTAACATATATTATAATGTTTAGAGTATGTGCTTCATAACTTATATTCTATACAATATATATTTTCTTATAATACTAAGACTTAAAATTAATGATAATTGAATAATAAATTCTTAACATCGTAATTCATAATTCAAACAGTGGGGACCTGTGCTGTGGCTATGTGCCAATTTATGCACTCATTGAGATGTCAATTTCATTAGAAAAGTTCATCGAGATTAAACAATTAATTTCTCATAGCCTTTACTGCAGCTCAAGCGTGGGCGATTCCCCTTCGTGTGCGGGTGTATATGTTGTTTTATATATTAGAAAAAAGTAGAAAGTTCAGGGTATCTATTTTCTATCTTCCAGCTAGAACACACTTACTTGCCCAAGCTTATATATAAATTATGTAGCTGCGTGTATTCCATTACTGCTATGAGATTCCTATTACTTTTTAAATTAAATGTTTTTTTTTTTTAAATGATAAAGCCTATTTTCAACACCTTGTAAAAATTCTATTTGAATATAAATAAAATTGAAGAAATTTGTAGAAAAAATAAAATAAATTAAATAATAAAAAAATAAGAATATACAAACTCTGCAGAGATTGTTTATTTTTTATTGTTATTGTTGTTTTATTGTTATTGTTTTATTAGCTATGCTTCAGAGCTTTTTTGCATATTTATAAATAATTGAAGAATATTTAATAACAATCAGTTAAATGAAAATCGTGAAATTTAAATCACTTTCTCATAAGCAACTACAATATTTTTAATTTTTCATAATGCAGTCGTATGCTCATTCAATAGCGCCATTTGCCCCCGCCATTTGAGTGCTGATTATAGTATGTGGAATCGGTTGTCTGATCATGCCCGCCATTCCAGGCTGGACCGCCGCTGGGACCCTGGTTCGCAGACGGGCCCCAATTAAGTCCAAATGGCAGTCCGTTGACAGCTTAAACGAAAGATATAATGTGTAAATAAATATATATGTATGTACTCTGAAATATATATATAAACTTTATATAGGAAGACTTACCGCTGAGCAGTGCAACGAACAGAGAAAGCACGAAAATAAATTGATGAGTGTGCTGCATGGTCAAGGCAAGAAGTTCAAATGAATGAGTTTTAAGTAATACCACGCCTTTATATAAAAGTATTTCCAGAGAGGGCTACGACAACGTGCAGCAGAAGGGTAACATACAATGTCTTCGGGTAGACAATCAATCTATATGCATAAGGCGATTGCGGCTGTCTGTGCCCACTGATTATCGTGACCTTATTTGTTTACGTTTTACAATACCCTGCTCAGAATTGATCACAAGAGGGAGTATGGAAATTTAGAGACTGAAACAATAAATTCTCTTAAAACTCTGCAAAAAATTAAACTTCGTTTCAAATATGTTCTGATTGTGTATTTAATATGAATATTATGAGTATGATTATATAAAGTCATTATTAAATTTTAAACAATCTACAAATATGGCATTAATATTTGAGAAATATTTTATTTAATTATTCTCGTTCATTTATTTCTCAGCAGTAAGTTTTTCTATATAAAAATTAAATACAAGTAAAAAAAATTAAAGTAATAATTCCATTTCTTATTAGTATACTTTGATTGTATATATTTTTAAATATTTAAAAAATAAACTATGAAGCCTTATATAATTATACTAAATAAAATTGATGTAGCTAGTTATATTATATATTATTTATTTATTTATTTATTTATATTTATTATTTTTTATTTATTTTTCTCACATGCCTTAGTCAAGTATACCCACATCCACATATTTCATATGGCTGGCAAGTTCACACGAAGCAACGCTCTCATCTGCTTTTGCTCTCTTCGTTGTCTCCTCTCTCAACTCGCAACGAATGCTAAGGCAATTAAGAAGTTTCGCTATGTGTCTGCTAATTATTTTCAATTGAATAGCTTTGGGTTGTAGGTAAAAGTTTTTGTATTGCTGGCCATTAAACATATCGGCTGTTGGCATTCATTGAGCAGTCACATTAGCCCCACTTGAGCAGGTGGGCAGGTGGGAAGGTGGGCAGGTGTGCTGAGCTGAGCTCAACTGAGGTTGTGAGCTTTTGTTTGGGTGCACCCCCACCCTTCAGCTAGACTATGGCTGTCCCAACCAACTGCAATTTACGCTTTGCGTTTATTTAGTTTCTCTCTTCTCCGATTCGACTGCGGAGCAAGTTGAACAATAAAAATTAAACAGGTTTTGCCGTGTTGTTAATGATGGCTGGCATAGCTGAGTTGTTCACTGCTCAAACGTGAGAATAGAAAATGAGTATTAGAAAACTCCAGAGCGGGAGAGAAATAACGCGACTTAAATGAGCTACAACTACTACAAAGTGCTGTTATAATATTGTGTGGGAGTTCTCATACAGACAACAACGAAGAGAGCTAATATATAAGTATATTTATCAGCAGCTAAAATTTGAAAAAGATTAAAGTTATGTATGGGGGATTAGAAATTTTGTATTGTTATAATATAATTTTAGTTTATTATGTGTGTTTTATTAAATATGTATGTTTATATATTATTTCAAAAAATTGGTTTGCTTTAATTGTTTTTTGTTTTTATTATTCAATTTGGATTTAAGTTATTAACAATTATTTTATTGGACATTTTAATAATAAAAATATCATCAGCTCAATCATCAATCAGTTGATAAATTAATTACAAATTTTATGTCTTAGTTATTTACATAAATTTATTTTTAATAATTATAAATAAAAATATCATTTTTAATATTACGAAAATTTTGTACATTAAAATATTATTAAAGCAATTTTAAATATATTTTATGTTTATAATATTGTATTTATTTATTTTTAAATTATTATTATATACTTTATTCTAATATGTATAATTGTATTGTACTTTATTACAAATCTTAATCGAGCAGGCATTTTTATTATTTAAAAATTCAAATTTATTCTCTTAATCCGAAGTGATAAAGCTGCTTGAAGTTTTCTTCCTGTGTAACTCAGCCGTAGTAGCAAAGATTTCTTTTATGTTTTGTCTAGAAAAGTTGTTTGCCGGAACACCAGAAACAAGCTACTAAATTATGAACTAACCGAGTTCAGAATCCACTTGGTTTAGCTGCAAACCTCTGTTTCCAATTGCCTTTGCCACCAGGAGACTTATTTATGCCACATGAAAACATTACACAGAAACTTGCACAAGTCTAGGGCTGTTGGGAAACAATGATCAGAGGCCAAACAATAATGCATAGACCATTAAAAGGACGCAGTTGCATTCAGTGGCAAATATATATATATAAGCTCCGACTAACTGTTCCACAGGTTCTGGCTAACCTGGCTGGGTGTTGGTCTCTGGTCGGGTGCGATGCGGTCCAGTCGAGCCTGGGGCGTTCACATTGCTTTTGTTGCTCGAATCGAATCAATTTGATTTTCCAATCAATTAAACTTTATATATATTGCGTCTGGGTGGCTAAATATAGCAACAACAACAGCAACAAGCGCTACAAAGCATTGCTATGTAGAAATCTGCTTCACAGATAACAAGCAGAGCACAGCGAGAGACCGAGAGATGCACCCAGCACTGTCTCGTTCGCTCTCTCACTCTCTCCCTCTCTCTCTCTCACACACACTTTTTCTCTCTTCTCCTCTGCCCCTGGTCAATGTCTCCATCAACGCCTGGCTGCACAAGCACAAAAATGTTAGTTGCCGAGTTCAGGTTTGGTCGAAATCGGGATCGGAATGGGGAACGGGGGATGGGGAATGGGGAGCGACTATTGCATATTGCATGACTTTGACTGCATTTTTCGACTTGCAGCTCTTTGCGGAGACAACAGACGCATAAATCAGCAAATCAATTTCAACAATTGTTAGCTTTATCTGTATCGTTTCAGAGAAAGAAGCAACAACGAGGAAACAAAACACAGCTGCCAGCACAGAGTTCAATGATTCTTGCGATTTCAATCAAAATTATGACCATACATTTATTTAATTAATTCTGTCTGTTTATATAAAAGGTCCTCGACTGCCACTGCCGTTTATTAATCCATTAGATGCCTGGCTCTCAAACGGTCCGCCGCCTTGTCCACCCGATATGACACCCTACTGCCCATTGTTAAAGGGTCCTCCATTGCTCCCTCCTGATATAAGTCTGTCTGATTTAACAAAGGGTCCTCCACTGCCGGCACCGGTAATCAATCCACCTCCACCTATGAGACCGTCTCGATCCACATTTACTTGAAATGGACCTCCAGTATTTTTGCCACTTATTAATTCATTTCTTTCTTGTTGCCACGGTCCTTCACTGTTGCAATTTCCTCTTCCGAATGGTCCTCCACAGCCGCGACCGTTAACCAATCCATCAGCAATCCCATTCGCAGCACCGCCAAAAGGTCCCCCATTCTGATTTCCATCCTGGCCAACATTTACGTTGAATGGTCCTCCACTGTTACTTCCTTTAACTAGTCCTTGTTGATCCTGTCCACTGCTACCAACATTTCCATTTCCATTTCCAAGCGGACCTCCGTTTTGATAGCCTGCTATGATACCTCCAGGCTCTCGAGTTCCTTGCCCGAATGATCCTCCACTGCCGCCAGCGTTAGCTGAATTCTGAGTGTTTCCAAAATGTCCGCCATATTGATTTCCAGATATGAGACCATCCTGACCACCATTAACTCTAAATGGTCCTCCACTGTTGCTACCGGTTATTAAATAACCAGAATTTCCAAAGGGTCCACCAGTATATCGAGATCCTGTGAGTCCATTAGGTGCTTCCCTAAAGGGTCCGCCACCATTGTTATTCATCAAAGGTCCACCATAGCTATTTCCATATGAATATTGTGGCTTCGTCACAGTCAACTGTGTCATCAACAGCAGCAGCAGCAGCGGCAGCATCACGTTGACCAAATGTCTCATCTCGATGCTATACAAACTTCAACTAATCGCTACGAGCCATACAATATTGAGTTTGTCATTTTGGCATAGCAACGAGCAATACATATAAAGTAAATCAAATACAAACCGTGAATCTATCAATTAGTTTAAACAACAAAAAACAGCAATCAAACTAGACCTTGGATGCGCTCAGCTACATGATAAATCACTGAGTATAATAATAATTATTGAGTACTCTATAATGAGAGCATTATGTACATAGCTCATCTACATAGTGATTATCATCAGCTTAATTTTTGATTAACCTTGAATATGCCTCTTTCTATCTTCCCATATCTCTCTCTCTCATTCTCAAACAAAGCGATGTTAAGTGCTTATTGAAACTTCAACTGAGATTTGTTGTTTGCTGAGTACGAGCTACGCTCGAATGATAACTTTGGCATCTAGCTAAACTGCAGCTTATACGCCCCCCAATTTAAATCACTCTCAGTATTCAACATTCAATCAAATGACAAAATATTTATATTATATGTGGGTTTGATTTAGAATTAAAGCTGCCCAAATTTGTTGTTTACTTTTAATTAAATTAAGATAAATATTAAAAATAATCCCAAAAAAATTAAATATTTTTTATATAACATATAAATATTTTTTATATAATATATTGGGTATTCTTTTTCTTTTATATCTAATTATATTACCAATTAAAAAAATAGTTTAGCTTTTACGCTTTTACTATGAAGTATATCAAGCTCTGATTTCAATCAAAATATATTATATTTGCAACAAAACCAAAACTCAAAAACTCTATACAATACATTACAGGATATTGTTGACACAGACCTTACGTTCCTACTAGTAAATTTTTGTAGCCCTGATTTCGTATTAGAAAAATTGTTTTATAGCCGTTTGGCTGGTCACACTTGCTACTGCATTAAAATAGAAATCTAATTTTATTTTTCTTAAGTATCAAACAAAAATTCTCTAAAGTTCATGAAATGAGCATTTCGCCAAATGCTGCTAGCTACGCACTACAAAGCTCCCAGCTGTCCAAGTGGCGCTCCGAGTTCTTCAGCCTGCCATTGAATCGGCTGGCGCAGAACGTTTGCACAAGTGGGGATCCGATCAGGGCATGCCAGCGAGCCAATCTGCAGGGATTGACGGTGGGCGGCAAGGAACACCATGAGGTGGCCAGGCTGAAGAAGTCGACCGTGGACGGTCCGAATTGGATCTGCACGGGACTGGATCTGTTGCGTCATGGCCTGCGCAAAGATTACGAACTATCCGCCCCGTATTTGTTCTACTGGCATAAGCTCGAGCGCTGCAACTACTTTCTCAATACTGTGATCGAGTGTCTGGCGTGCGGGGAGCCGGTTGAGGGGCGCACCTTTAGGTACCTGATGAAGCACACAGTGCCCGATGGCGGAAATTGGCAGATGTTCGTGAATCTGGTCAAGAAATACGGCGTAATGCCCAAGCAGTGCTATCTGGCCAGCTGGTCCTCAACCCGAACCCTGCACCTTAATCGGATGCTCAAGAGTAAAGTATGTGTGCCTAATGTATTGCTGGATTAAGAATACTCCCAAATCTCTTACAGCTGCACGAGTTTAGCAGCCAGCTGCATGAGCGATTCGTCTCAGACGGGAATGCCCATAATCTGCACCTAATGGTCGAGTCCATGATCGCAGAGCTTTATAAGGTAATCAACATTTGCTTGGGCACGCCGCCCACGAGCTTTACGCTGAACCTAAAGGACGAAGAGCAGGAGGCTCGGTTCAGCCCGCGCACTTTCTATGAGCGCATGATAGCGCCCCACTTTGCGCTGGATGCCCGGGTGAGTCTGGGCCATGATCCCCGGCCGAGTGCCAGCTATGGGCGCAACTATTGCATTGCCCACAGCTCCAACATGATGAGTGGACTGCTGCAAAGCTACAACAACCAGCCCATGGATGTACTGCTTGAGGTCATGGCCAAGTCCCTGGCCGCTGGCTCGGCTGTGTGGCTGGCCTGCGATATCCAGCGCATATTCAAGAACAATGATGGAGTGCTCAGCCTGAAAACGCACAACTTCGAGCAGGTATTCGGCATGCCGGTGGGCACAGCTCTAGACAAGGCGGACCGAATGCTTTTTAGGGCGACGAGTCGAAATACGTCGCTGCTAGTGACCGAGGTCTCGTTGGATGCACTGCATCAGCCACTGAAATTTGGCACAGCACGCAAGACTGCCAAGACTAATGCCGTTAAAAATACAGAATCCGAGGAGAGTATAAAGGATGCTGTCGATACCGTCGACAAAACCAAAGCGAAAACCAAAGCAGCCAAAGCAGATGCAGCCAAGCGCAAAACATCCATGGGCCAAGCTACCGTCCTGCACGTCGACTGGCTGCGGGAGTATGCCTTTGAGATAGTTGTCGACGCACGCTTTGTGCCGCCAGGCGTGATGCAAGCGCTCCGCGACGAGCCCAGCGAGGAACTGCCCATTTGGGACCCCATGGGCGCGCTGCTCAGTTGATGAATGATGAGTCCCCAGGTGGAAGTTGTGCAGGGCTGGCAAGCAACTAGCTCGTTGATATAAAAGGGCGACTAATCATTTCATGAACTAGTTCTATTCCTTGTCGCTATGTCAAAAGATTCTATTTGGATTTCGAATGAAATTAAAAAAATTCATTATAATAGTTGAGCTTGAAATTTCAAATAATAAGTTAAATTGTAAGAAATGCTTCATTAATTTATTTTCATGTTAAAAAACCAAAAAAAAAAAATGAAATATTATTTATGTGTAATGCATTCATCTAAATTAAAATAAAGAGAAGTGTTACTAAAATAATAAAAGAAATTCTTAAATAATTAATCGCATACAAATAATCAATATTTTTAAATGTATTTTTCTTAACTTATTTTTATATAGTTTTGAGTTATTTTTTTATATATTTATTTTTTAAATTTTAATATATAATATATTATTAAATATTACATTATATATTTTTTTTTTTTTCTTTTTTATTTTTATTACAACACAAACTTTTTAATATCTCGTTAATTTAATGCAATGTTTGATATTTCGTTAAATTTTTTAATTATTTATTTATTATTATTTTATTTATTTATTTATTATTAATTTTTAATTATTTTTTAGTTTTATTTTTAACTTTGTCCTCAGATTTTGTTAGCCATAAAAATATTTAAAATTGGCTTAAAATCAGTTCTTCAAACTCGATGAACCGAACCAGTTCACAAATTTCACACTGTCCGCAGACTGTCGGCGAGTATTGAAATTATTGGAAAATCTCGCAGTCCAACTGACGAGGCGCGACCTTCGCCAAGTTTTCGGGAATTAGACTTACGTGCCGAGCATGCCTAATTAGGCATTAGAAAAGAACGGCGGACGGCCGGACAGCGACTACTGCCGTCAAGTCGACGACTGTTTTGGACTTAATGGATTTGCGTTGAAGGAAATTTAACTTTGCATAAAATGCGGAAGTAACAAGAATTTAAAAAAAAAAAAGAAAAGAAGAAGAAAATGCATAGCTTTAAGGGAAAATTTTCGTTTATTAAATTTTCGACAAGTTTTCAATGTTCTACCAGTATCCATTTCCGCCGTAGCCGTAGTTATAGCCTCGGCCGCCACCATTGTAGATATATGTATTGGGATAGGGGCTATGATGCGATGGTTGCACCACAATTGGCTGCACAATCACCTGGGGATGGTGGCTGAATAGTTTCGTCAGAAGATGACGTGGCCGACGTAGCTGATCAGCTGTTGATGACGGAGCGGTGGTTCCCTCTCCTGCATGGGCACTCGCAGCAGGAGGCAGCTCAGCAGTTGGCACAGTATCAATTGCATTGTGGCTAGCAGGAAAGGCCAGCACCAAGGCAACAGTAAGGCTGCTCAGCAAGCAAAACGCAACGATCTTCATCTTCAGGGAGTACGATCTGTAACTGAACTGAACGAAGCTGGTGACAGCCTCTTAAATACGAGATCCGAGCAGGTAATCCTTGACCAGGATCTACCTGACTCATGCGGGAGCAGCTGCCGGCAAGGATTAGCGCAAATTACTACTGAGAAATGTGAAATGGTTTATGAGATCGAAAGTCTTGTCTTTGGAATGCTTGAAATAAATTTTATTATACGCATAGTTCTCGTTTATGACGCGGTTCCCTTACCCTAAGCAAGCGCCTTACTATATGATATGTATATGTGAGGAATAATTAACAGTTTCTTATCCTTAAGCTGGTGGCGGTGGTGGCATACCCTCGGGTGGTGGTGGCATACCCTCAGGCGGTGGTGGCATGCCCTCAGGTGGCGGCGGCGGTGCTTGGCGACGTGGCTGTGGATTATATATAAATGTATCATATCAAATTGATTATCTATGGGAGGGAGCTTCAGGGAGTTCGCTAAAGAGTTGGGTCGACGCTACGATATCCCCTGGAAATGTGGCAACGAGTTTGCGGGATTGGGTTTTTGGAATGCTTTAGACAAGTTTTATTGGTTTGGTTAGCTTTTAGTTCCCTTTGACATGCACATAAGCGCAACTCTATATGTGAATTATGCTTAATTTATTGGTTTATATGGGTGGGGCGGGCATGCCAGAGGGGGGAGTGGGAAAACCTGTACCGGGCAACTGACGGATTTGCTGTGAATGGGATAGAATAGACTAGTAGAGTATTATACAAAGAATTACACCTATGGGGTCTACAAGGACAAAGACTAAAATTATCCAGCTATTTATAATCTAGGCAGAATGAATCTTACTCTGAAATGTGGCGGTTGTTCCTCGTTGTTCTCGTGGCTGGTTGGCTCGTTGTTCATGACATTGCGACGCGACTGTTAGCATAAGTATAATCACATTATAATAATCATGATCATCACATAATCAAATTGACCTTTGTAGTCTAGTGCTGTGACTTACTCTGAATTGAGGTGGCGGCGGCTGCTCTTCGTTCTTCACATAGCCAGGTCCGGTCGCAAGTCCCATGTTAGTTGCGGGGGCATGGCGCCGTGCCTAGAATTAGTAGGCATTGGCAAAATCGCATAAGTAAAGCCTTGTAGCCCTCAAAGCGTCGCCGCTTCAATTCCTCTTCACTAAGGCTTAATTGGCGACGCGTCTTGAGGGCAGAGAAATTTGAACGTTTTACGCTATTCAACTGGAAGCTGTCTTACCCGCACAAACAGTCGCATCGAGTCCTGCTTGAAAAGGATGTTTGGGATAAATATGCATTAAATAGTTAGTATTTAGCTGTTGCATACCTCTAAGCCCTTGTTGCTGCCACCACCGCCGCGTCCGTCCACGCCGAACAGTGTCAAAGCCACCACGTAAACAAGTAAAATAGCGCAAAATAACTTCATTTTCGATTCGTCACGTTGCCGTTTATATTCGAGAAACGGAGACTTCTCGCTGCTGGCCTGCATTCGGCCGGACAGCTTCTTATATACTCATAGTTCCGTGGGGACTGTGTCAATTCAATTGGCTTGTTAAACGCTATCCGAAATCTTGTAAAATGTCAGCTTACTGAATAATTGCCGATACGTATCGCACAGGGTCAACAATTAAATTGTTTATTAAATCATGGAAGTTATTAGCAGCTGCCGAATGACATAACGTAACATGCATCCCCCAGATACAATCGGCATGAACATGAAAAGGGCGGCATATCAAAAAGAGTGTGGGCGTATTGTGGCCGGGCACCTGACGTGTGAGATGTGATATAATAAAACAATCAACATACTTCAGGTGCTCTTTCAACTAGATGCAAATTGGAATGTTAAGCAAATTAAGTATACACTATCTTTGCGAATAATAATAATTACTATTAATAAAATGCCAATTGAAGATCATTGCTGCCGTGACATCTTTTCAATAAATCATACTGAATGTGCCTAACAATTTTAACCTAAACATTTTTGCCAGTGTAAAATAAGATATTAAATAGGCTCAAACTCAATATCATTTATAAAAATACATAATATATAATTTTTAAATATCAAAATTTCAATTATAATTAATAATGAATAAATTTAAAAATGCTATAAATAATTGTTAAATTTTAATATTAATAATTAAACATCTTTATTTTTTTCATACCATTTTTAAACAATTTTTGTAACTAATTTTTTTTTTTTTTTATTTTCATTAAATATTTTTATAAAATATTAATTTTTTTAATATTTGTAGAATTTTATTAGATTAGAAAAATCTAAATCTAAAATCTACTAAAAAGTAATATTAAATGTTCATAACATAAATAATTAATATTTTTAAATATTAATGCAAATCTACTAAAATTTAAAATATTTACTTTATAATAATATTTAATAAAAAAAAATACTTAAAAATAGTAAAAGAATAAAAACATATTAAATACTATAAATGGTAATATCTAATTATTAAAATTTAATATTATTAATAATATCTAAATATATATGTGTGTTTTACACAATCTCTCTCCAATCTACATTATACGTATCTCAAATACGATCTGGTCAAGCTACATTAAACCGAATATGGCTGACTTAATAGCTGAGTGTGAGCCTGGCGCTCCCTTTGTGATATTCAACCGTGCTATCCGGCACTAGAAAACGTTGGAATGAGTTCATGTTCACATTTAGCAGAGCTTTGCATAATTTCAAAATTATAACACGCTTTGATGTTGACGTGCCAAAAGGCGTTGGGCGCCTGTGTCTTTGTCTATGTCTTTTTCTTTAGCTTTCTCGCCCTCTCTCTTTCTCGCTCTCCGTCTCGCTGTCAACCAAGTCAAATAGAGGTGTAGGCGACAAAAACGAAATTGTTGGGAAAGAGTACAAAATAAATAAGCGCACTTTTTTCTCATTTCCGTTGCTTACTTTGACGTGTTTAGTTTTTGATGTGCACATTCGCGCACACAGCAGCAGTAGCAACAGCAGCAGCAGCAGGAGCAGGAGGAGGAGGAGCTGTAAAGGCAGATGATTAAATTCGTCGCCAATGTGGACAGCGTCGCTGGCTCCACTGGTTCCGCTGGCTCTGGCGGAGCCGCTCGCTCTGTACGGGTTGTCCGTTGTCTACATCTTAGAAGAGGTCTACATTTGCTCTAACTCTCTCTCTCTCTCTCATTCTCCCTCTCTCATTCTCCCTCTCTCTTACTCGCTCCTACGTGCTTCCTTTCTGTCTCTGTGTGTAAACTTTTCTCATTAGAAAACTTTTACTATTTCCGCTACTCAACGCCAAACGCAAACAACAAACAAACAGCAGCAGCGGCGGCAGCAGCAGCGCCAAACGACAAAAAAGCATAAAATAAAATAAAAATTAAATGAAACATAAAATAAAAAATATAAAAAAAGACGCGCAACGGACTGAAGTAAATGTTTTGTAAATACAATTTTTGGTGTGCCTAAGTGTCTGAATTGACATTGTTCCATCTTAGATATGGAGCTGTTGCATCACTTTTTTTTCCCCAAAAATTTGCAACAGGCAGAACACAAAGCCAGAATTGGCTCTCCCGCTGTCTTGGTTTTTATTTAATTTTTATGTAGAGCAGATGGAAAATGTCAAAGACGCTGCTTGAAAATCAATAAATCAGCGGTTACCGTTTTACCTTCACCTCAGCTTCAATTCAATCCGATTTTCTTATTTGATTTTGCACTGCCTCCGCGCTTTCCTGTTTCCTGTGACTTGCAGTGCGCATTTCCTTCCAAGTGCCTCGCGTTTGCTCTAATTTGATTTTGAGCAGCAGCAGCAGCAGCAGCAGCTTCTTATGCGATTGCCGGCGCCTGTCATTGGCTCGAAAATGTGCCACGTTTCAATTACGTTTATTGACTTAAGCCAACGAAAAATGCCTGATATTTCTATATACATATACACACACACACAAACACATGTGTCTAGACAATTAGATTGCGCCATGCAGCATGGTCGATTCGCCTTCAATGGGTCCTTAAAACAAAGGAATATAAAACTCGTTTAAGGCAATTTGTACAAAATATATTAAAGCATTCGCTTGCGAAATTCTTGTCAATATTTATATTGATCGCACTTTCAATACAGCAAACTAGAATTTTATTTCTTTCTTCCAAGCTTTTTCTCTGAGTAGTTCCTATAAGTATTTCTCCCAAGTCTTTCCTCTAAGTATTTCCTCTAAGTATATCTTCCAAGCATACCCTCTGTTTCCTCTAAATATTTCCACTAAGTATTTACAGTAGCATTTCCTCTAAGTATTTCCTGCAAGTCTTTCTTCCAAGTCTTCCCTAAGTCTTGGAGGACCAAGTCTTCAATGCTTAGCTGAACGCTTTACTCCACTACACTACTGACCTCCAACTGGCCTAGGTGACTGAAGAAACGCTGCAGCTGCTGCCCTTTATATAGGGCAACTTTCACTCATAGCCTAAGTCTCTCCCAAATGTTGAGCCCGACGCCAGGTAGAGCTCGTTGCAGTCGACCTTGAAATGCCCAATGGGAACACACTCTGCTGCTGCAAGCATTCTTACTTCGTTTTACTTAAATATAAATACCGAATGCATACTGATGCATGCATACACAACTTAGGTGATCTTCTGTAATTCTTCTGGAGGCAGACAGAGAGACAGGCTGAGAGATAGACAGAGAGACAGACAGAGAGACAGACATGTTAACACACATACGAACAGATATATGAGCAAATAAGTACATAGAGCTAATTCAGATTTATCTTGACCATATAATAATTAATAATAATAATATGTCTATATGGATATTTATTGGTAATATATGTAATTATCAATGGACACAAATGCACAAATTGAGTATATATACTTACACATACATTTTCAGAATCAGATCTATAGAAATACTTACTGCAACATTTAAGCCCTCATCTGCAACTAGTTAACATTATTCAGTACTTTAGCAACAAATTCTCAGCAAATCGAAATTTGTATGCACTTTTTGTGCCACGTAAATGCACTCGATTTGGCGAGTCCAAAGCCACATTTGCTATCGAACGAATTTATGTATGTGCTGGAAGAAATATATACGAAATGCAATTACAACACGCTCCATTAGCGGTCCATAGAGTGCCATTAAATGCGCCAGTAATGCCTATGGGCTGGGCCGGAGCGGGTCGAGCTGCCAATTGGCAAAGTGTCTGCCAGCTAGCCAGGCCGGGCAGGATAATTTTCAGCACTTCGGCTGGGCCAAAGCAGAAGCCGGGGAATAGGCAAAGCTCTCACGCCTTGGTGTCCAGCAATTGAAATGTGTTTTAGTTGTCAATACACTAAATACCCCACTCAGAATCCAGCATCGGTAATAAGTAAGCTCGATAGCGTCAAGACTCTGGTGGCCAACATCACGTGTCTGGCAAACGGATTGCCCAGAAAGCCTCACGAACCGGATAATGATCAACGAACTGTATACGTTTCCGCAATCGTAGTCAAATCGACAAACATGCACACCAAATGCAACGGCTCCTGCTGCTGATGGTGCTCCTGCTCCTGCTCCTGCTGATGCTGATGCTGCTCCTGCTGCTGCTATCGTTGGGGAATAGGAATGAGAATGAGAATGAGAATCAGAATCAGAATGCGAATGCGAAATGCGAAACGAAGCTCGCCTGGCAGCCTGATGGGGCGAGGAGCCAAGGAACCAAGGAGCTGTTGCCCAAGCAACTTATGCCGCTCGACTGACAGTTGGCCCTCCCCTCGGTGGCGACTCGGGTGTAAACACCCCTCGCTCGAATGTTTTGCATTATTGATAAACTGCTCGTCTCCATCGTCTGCGTGGCAAGAAATAAAGCAACGCCAAAGAATATTTATGACACTTGCTATGCTCCAACAAACTGGCGAAAAAAAAGTACATATACATACATACATATATATGTATATGCTGGCAGCAGACGGGCACGCCCCAAAAGCGAAACGTGTCATGCATTAAGCGCCTGAACGTGAGCACCAGCCCTTTTATACCCTAGCCAAAGGGTTCTACCAAAATATTCACAAATTTCAAGCACCTGCTACCCTAAATATGTCGCCAGAGCTTTAGCTCGTGTATATATAATGAACGAGCATGATTTTTAGCATGGAATTGCAATTGCGGTGTTTTGCACCGCACAATGTTCTCCCAAAAATACAACAGAGCGAATTTGTTGATTTATAAATATTTGCATATCTCAAGAAATATTTATTAGTGTGGTAAGCTGCAACAATTTAACTATATCATATGAAATATGAAGCTAAAAATCCGCTTTAAATAATAATGACATTAACAAAAAAAAATGGTAAACAGAAATCCAACTTTTTATAAACTTTCATTATTTTTCAAAAAATTTTTTAATGTGAATTAGATTAGTTTGAAAATCAAAATCTGTCTCTCGTATATACAACAATAATAATTCAATTAAATATATATATATATATATATATATATATTTTTTTTTTTTTTTTTTTTTTTTCATAAAAACAGTAAATCTTTTAAAGTACTTTAATTGCCTAAACAAAATTATATTAAATTTATATTCAATTAATTTCTAAATTTTTTTTATATTGCCCTGAATTCCCTCTCTCACCTTCTTTAGGAAGTCGCCGAAGACAAATTTCAAAGAATCTCTAACTTTTGATTGTTCAAGAATATATCTAATTTGTTAACCCATTTTCAATGCCTACAACGCCTGAAATCTGTATTATGAATCCCCGCCTTTATGCCATGCTTAGAGCAACATTCTAGTGCTTTACATCCATCCAGCCAGAAAGTGTGTTTAAAATCCTACCATAAAAACTAGAATATTTTTTGCTACTTCGACTAGCTACATTTGTTGCACTTTTGGCAATTGGCGCATGGCAAAAGCAAAAAAAAAAAAAAAAAGAGGTAAGGTGGTAGTCGGCAGGCGGCAGGCGGCAATGAAGCGTTTAACGGTGGCAACAACTCTACAGTAGTGCACAAAAGTGCAAAAATTATAAGAGTAGAGCTAGTTGTAGACCGTAGAAGCCGTGCAAAAAGCATTTGCTAGACCAATTTAGCCTGGCTGCCGAATGCGCCACACTGAGTGCAAAAAATTCGTGCACGTTGCGTTGTAATTGCATTTGCTTTGTTGTTGCTCACAGACAAAGAAAAACGAATACGAAAACGCAAAGGATACAAACTTAACGAAGGGCCACAAAGAGACGGACGAACGAAAAATAAGAACAACAACTCAAAATGTGGAAATCGAGTACAACCGACTGCGTAATGCTCGACTGCAGCTAACAGTACTTAAGCCAGCAGCTCTAGTGAATTAACTTTTATATTTCCCTCGCCTCAAGCTATTCTAAGCTATTAAAATCAGTCGGTAGAGTAACTTTTCAAAGATATCAACTTTACAACACTTTCCAAAAGTGATATGGTCACCCTAACTATAACTCAACCTTTTTCAGCTCAATATTAGAACGAGCTCATCGTAAATCTTCTTTGCAAATTTCGTCACCCAATTCGTCAGACAAAATTCAATATTCCAAAATTTGATAGCAACTGCAACAATTTGCATTAAGGCTTAGATAAGCTCTAATTAAATCTTTAATATGAATGACTAATTGATTTATCCATGCCAAATATATATGTATATATCATTTCTGTGAGTCAGCTTTGCTTGAAAGCAATGCTTAGATGCTTGTATTATGAAGCCTCATTCTGAATTCGCTCACTCACTTAGTCTCAAGCCAATGTTTGCAAAATGACTTTAATTCAATATGAGAAGAGAAGTTTATTAGTTTGCTATATGCAAAATGGGGTCTACCTGACGGCTACAATGCGCTCAGACGCACTCATCATTTGTCTTCATCACTAGAATTAAGTAGACTTTATCTCGGAATTTGATCAACACACACAGACTCAAGCAGATATACTCTTATCCACATGGCGAGAGTGTATAAGTGTGAGCATGAGCTCCTGCCGCCTCTTGGGCGTGGCCGACGCTGCTGTCTGGATACGTATACATCACGTAGTGCAGTTGCCGCAGCTAAAACTTCATCAATTCGCCTTGCGAATCCTTGGCCACTTTTCGGCGCCTGCTCTGTCGATGGCTCGGGGGGTTTGGGATTGCATATCAGGTGTGAGACTTTTTCTGGCCCATTAATGCATTGCACTTATGCATGATTAATTACAGCGTTTAAAAGCGCATAAATATGCATTGCAAATTTTATTAACACGAATAATTAAATGAATCAAACAGTGCGACTCTACGTACATGCATATGCATATCAAAATAAATGGATTTTCATTAAAGGATTTGCTTTATATATTTAAATGCCATTTGACTTAATTGCATTATACATGGCACTCTCCATATGTGCACTGTGAAAACTGCTATCAGCTTCCCAATTTATTGATACAATTTGAATAATATTCCAAATGGCTTAAAATCAAATAAAGTGCAGGCTCTATTTATGTAGTATTTACAGGTGTAGCAGGCAAATAGTTTTTTTTTTAATATCACTCAAGACAAAATCACATTTCTCACTTAATTTCTTCGATTTGGAGCATATTCGGTGACCACATACGCGCCATCATCTTCGCGGTAGCCCAACCCGTTGTAGATGACATACGTCCAGTAGTAGAGAGTATCGCCCAAATTCAATGCCGTTTCACGATCACGGAATGTCCAACGCCCCCTCTTGGCACTGGGTATATCGCGTGCCCAAGTGCCCGCCTCCAATCCATCGAACTCCTCGTTCAGCTTGCCGTGGAAGGCAAACAATGAAATGCCCTCCTCATGCGGTATGGAAACCTCAAATCCTTTGGGATAAAAGACACGCACCTGTGCCGTGGGCACCTTGTATGCGTCGCCAAGCCCCACGGCTGTCAGTATAAAAGCGCAGCTTAAAAGTAAACGCATTTCGTATTCCGCCGAGAGTAAGTCTCCAAATGCTGAGCAAATGCTGAGGCTCAGCTGATTTATACATAGCAAAGCGAGAGCGGAAAGAGCTCTCATTTGTCGAGCTGATAGTCGAATGCTCATTTCGACATTCTCTTTTCAATACTAATTAGTTGCTCTAACAATCTCTCATTTAATCAAAAGTATATTATTTCCATCATTTTTAACAGCTTCAGCTTGAACTTAATATTATAAGTTGCTCTGATAATTGGAAATCTCTCAATTCTTAACGAGCATTTATTAGCCTGTTCTCTGTCAATTTATTTGTGTTTAGGTTCTGTTTAGGTTATTTGTTCAAAGTGTAGGCAGCTAAATGCAAAAGCCGCGTAATTACACGATTCCGACTCCATATGATCGTATCGCTTTTTGCAGGTCTTCACTTTTTCGACATATGCCACCGGATAGCTATTCAGCGCAAGCTCCACGTCCATTTTACCATTCTCATCCAATATATCCTTTAGCAAACATCTGCAGTAACACTTAAATTTATCCGGCAAATCTTCAATTGGAACATTTATTGGAATATTATTCAGGTCAGCTATAGTGACATTGTTAAGCTTCAGACAAATTTCATTGCTATAGCTAAAGCACAACTAAATAAAAATAAATGTATAAACCAAAGTTCAGTTAAAATTACGTATTTTAATCTTACCAAAGTCAAGATGATCGTGATGAAAATGTATGTTTTTAATTTCATATTTACTCAAATATTAAAAAATCTGTTCGGTAATTATGAAATGAAGCAGCAGCAGTGAACGTTGCGACTCTACTGGCAATAAAAACTAAATGTTCTACTTTTTATACCGTTACCAGCGAGTTGTTAAATAGTTTTAAATTAAGTAGTATAAATAATTACGGCTTATCATGTTTATCAAGCCGTTTAGTAAGTGTGTATACAAATACAAATATGATAGATCGTTGATTTAAGAAGGCTCAGTGCTTGCACTCTTCCAGTTCATCAGGCAGGAGATACCGAACTTTCGATTCATAATTTTTTGTAATTTATATAGCCATTGCCTGGTAAGAAACATATATATGAAGAGTCTACAACAGCTATCAATATGGGCTCATACAAATTACGTATGAGTCATGCAATAAAATTATATAGTTTATATAAAAACAAATTAGTTAATCATTCACACGAAACAATAATTAAATATTCATTTTTGTTTTACCTATTTCATGTAATCTGAAATCAGGTATAGAAACAGTACATACATATTTAATAAATATATATATGAATATCAATATTTTAATTTTACCGCGCTGATCACGAATAATAATTTTTTTTTTTTTTTTTAAATAATTTAAACATAAAATCAACAGAAGAAACGGCTGTCTATAGCTGTCTATATCCATACCTAATAATTATAAATGTTAATGTACATACCCCATTTAGCATATCAGCTTTTAGTCTTAGTATGCGTGTTTGCTTGTCTATGTATCTACCTCACAGTCTGTCTCTCCATCAGTTTCTCTCTCTTTGTCACTAAGGGACGAAGAAGAGCTATAGAAGATCATATCAGTTGTCCATGTGTATCAACAGTATTCCGTAAAACGAAGTAAGAATGCTTGCAGCAGCAGAGGGTGTTCCCATTGGTCGTTTAAACTCGATTGCAACGAGCTCTACCTGGCGTTGGGCTCAACAATTGAGAGAGACTTCGGCTATGAGTGAAAGGTGCCCTATATAAAGGGCAGCAGCTGCAGCATTTCTTCAGTCACCCAGGCCTAGTGGGGGTCAGTCGTGTAGTGGAAATACTTAGATAAAAGACTTTTCGAATTTTAATACTTATAGGAAATACTTAGAAAATATTCTTAGACGAGGAAATACTTGGAGGAAATACTTGGACGAAATTCTTGGAGGAAATACTTAGAGAAACTGTTTAGAGGAAATAATCAGAGGATATATTTAGAGGAAATACTTAGAGAAACTGTTTAGAGGAAATAATTAGAGGAAATACTAGCCTATTTTATACTTTTTCTTTTTTCGGCTGTTTTGCTGTGATAATTAAATAAAATATTAAAGAAAAATATTAACAAATGTTTTTTCAAATGACAATATTTATTAAATACAAATATTTGTACAAATGTACACAACTTATGGATGGTATTGTCCATTGTCAATTTCACTGTACTGCGACTGGGCTGCCAATGCTAAGCGTTGCGCCTTCTGCTGGGCCCCGATGGCTGCGTGCTCCGCTGCGATACGCTCAAATGCGTTCAAATGCTTTTGGGTGGCATGAATGACGGCGGCACTGCCGCGGGGAGCAGCTGCCACAGACTGCAAGCGAATGGAAATAAAAATAAGAGTTTGTAACATTTATACAATTGCTAGGGATTGGCGCATGCTGAATAATTGAAATAATTTATTTGCCAGCGTCCGACGTCAAGCAACAGCAATGACTGGCAGCAAGCTTTGCGCAGCTCGTGAAAAGCATTTGTAATTCATGCATGTAAGACAACACAACACAACACAACACATCACATCACGCTCTGGGCCATCTCTGGGCCGTACTCACCGCTTGGCCTGGTATGTGGCTGGCATGCTCTTGCGCAATGCGATTATAGGTAGCGAAGTGCTTCTCCTTGGCCGCCTTGACAGCTGCACTGTCCTCCAGCTGGTGACTCAGCTGCGGATGGAAGCCATTCTCATCGGCGACGTATTGAACGGTACGCACTTGATTCTTGGGATCCACGTAGGAGAAGGCGCCGCGTATAACGCCCGAGCCATCGGATACCTCTGTGTGCTGTCTATCCACATGACCGGGTGCACGGCCCGCCTGGTAGCTAAACACATACGGGCTGGCGGGCGCATGCGGCTCTGGAGTGGTGGCCAAATGAAGATGCGACACATCCGCGCGACTGGCGCCCAATGCACAAACGACCTTGACACAGTAAACCGGAAATGTAGTTGCGCTGCGTAGCTACCATTGACTATCGCTTACCAATATGAAAAATTGCTTCATGATTTTTCCTCTTTTTTTTTCCTTTTACGTGTGTCTCTTTGTTGAGCTGCGATGGGAAACTAAAAACTTGTAGCGAATTTTTTGTCAGTCGCAATCGAAACTGAAACCGAAAAAACTGGTCTGCCGCCGTGCTTTAGCCTCTCAGATTCGCTTTTTATATACAAAACACCGTTCGGAGCTTTGAAGACAAAACTTGTTTTCATTTTTATAATTTTGCATTCATAAACCAAACAATTCGACATTATTGTTGAATTTATTTTGTAATACGACAGATAAGCTAACGCTGCTGTTCTACAACAATCAGTTCCTCTAATAATCTCTCAATGCCGCACGATCTTTAGACTTGCAAAAATTGAGAAAAATCTCTCTTTGTTGATAGTGAAATATATGAATATTGCTAAATGCCAAAGCATTAACTTTTACAAAAAGCTAAACTAGTGATTATAGGAAATTAAATTTTTTATAAATTGCAATAATTAAAGCTTTAGGCTTACATCGTGTGTTTATATATTATTGATTCTTAGCTAGATCTAACAGGCAAAATGTGTAGCTGTTTCAATGACTTTCCAGTTATCAACAACAAACTTCCATACTCGCCTTGAACTTAAGCCAAAATCACTCTTTTTATTCTTTTTTTTTAAATCGAAGAACAAGACTTTAGAGCTGTAATGAATAATAAGAGAAGTTAATAGTTAAACTTTAAAATTAAATATATAATTTGTTCTCGGGCATTCCTATGACTAATCCTAAAGAGAAGAGTTGACTGAAACCCAAACGGTTAAACAGGTTAAATACAGGTTTCATTTATTTTTTTTTTTATGAATTTATATTCTTAATCAACTGCATATTAAACAATTTGAGTGTTGACAATCATTATTGTTCAACAAAAATTTTGCGAGAAATTGTTTATAGTTTATAAGTATTCACAATAATAAAACTTATATATACATTATTAATATTAGGTCAAAAATATGTGCTTAAAATATTTACATCAAGTGGAAACTGTTTTATAATAGTCATACAATTTGTGAGCTGGGCTGTGTGATTTTTAAAAAACTTATTAAATCTATTTTTAGTTAGGTTAGATGCGCATAACAACAAAACCTTTCAAATACAAATACTATAAGCCTAGGTCAGTGTCTGCACTGTCTGGTATATCCAGTTGATATAAGCAGGCACATAGGTATAAACGCCCGGATATTCAGCGTTGGCGCAGCCTAAGCCCCAAGATACAATGCCAAGCAGTTTGAAGCGACCGTCAACATGTGTGATTAACGGACCACCCGAATCACCCACGCAGCTGTCCCGATCACCTTTGCCAGACTTGCTGCCTGCACAGAACATGGTGGATGTTATGGTGGCGGCGCCAAAGTAGTTACGTGCACACGAATCGCGATTCAATTGAACGATGACTGTGTAATGCAAGAGCGATGAAGGGGCCATTTGCTCCACTTTTGTGGATCCCCAGCCGCTGACGAAGAGCTGAGCTAGTGTGGGCACATCATCCATCGGTGTTACGATCGGAATGGGTTTTATGTTGTCACTAAAGATAAGCGGATCTTGGAGCTGTAACAGAGCGATGTCGTTGTTCATATGTGTAGGCTGATTGAAATGCTCGTGAGGAATGATACGACGAATACGATGATGGCTGCCGCCACTTGACCACTTGGTGGAGCCAGCGCGTATGAAATAGTCCTGCGGCTCATTGGCCTTCAGCACACAATGAGCGGCAGTTAGGACCAGAGTGGGTGCCAATATAGTGGCACCGCAGATATGACGTGTGCCCTTCTGCAGTGAGACCTGGTGTGGGAAATGCGCGATCTTTGTCGCCCAACCTCCGACAATGCGACCATCCTGTGGATCAAGAGTATCTCTGTCCGCCAATAGCCTCTGCTCCTGTGTGGCAATGTCCTGGGCAGCGGCAAATGCCAGCCAAGCGAAGAATAGCAGTTGCGTGCGCTGCATAATGTGATGCGAAAGGTGACTTATAGATAGATAATCGTGCGTATCTCATTGCTGGCTACTTTTATAGGCAAGGCAGCCATAGATATCTTGGCCCTTATCGCATTTTGTGTGTTTGCCCGCGACTCCACCTCTCAGAGACATATTCAAGGGCTGCTCACTGCGATTAACCTGAGACGAGGTTATGGAGCTTTGGTATTTATGAAAATATATGAGCGGAATTACTGTCGAAATCATAGTGGGCATAAGGTGTGCAGTTCAACTAATGTCTAGGCCTTTGCTCTTCCAATCATCTTTCCATGGCCGTCACCTGCTCCTTGAGGTAATCCAAATGATTGACACTGTCCTGCATCACGTCGTACTGATAGCCGACGTGCTGTAGGATGAGAGTCATCTTTTGCAGGTTTTGGTTGCTGTAATCGGATACCACGTCCACTTGCGTAAAGTTCTTCAGCGTCTGATGCATAATCTGTGCAACATTATTTAGTTTAATTTATAGTTTATACATTATTATTAACATTTTTTCCTACCTCATTAGTCTTGGAGCCTCGCACCACTTGCCTGGCTACAGAGCCCAAATTGTTCACATTTACACCAACTCGAGCGCACAGGCGTTTCTTGGAATCATCAAACAAATGACGAGCACTTGAACTAGATGCTGATGCCATTTTATATTGTTATTTTTATCAATTTATTACAAGTTTCACAAAATACGTCTGCGTACACAAAGCAAAGGCCAAGGTGAATATAAAATTGCGTTACGTATCAGGCAGCTTGTGCTCGTATGCTGTCAGAGTTGCCAGATATGGCAGATGTTAGGCGACACTGACAATATTAATTTGAATTAAAGCCCGCAAATATTTAAAAATGTAAACAACAAAAATAAGTGGGTATGTATATAAGGTTGCGCTGTATATACTTTTATTTAGCATTTACTTTAATATCACATTTAGTTGCCGCATATTTTCAACCTCTATATCTATGCCTTCGTTTAAAGCAACGCTTTACACTTGGCTTTGGACCTTGACAACGATTATTCCAAGCGACCCAGGCAGAGAATCCCTGTTGTTGTTTGATATATTTCGCACAGGCAATGGAATATCTAATGTCATCGCTAAGCAACAGTCGGCAGGGTAAACGGCACAAATCTGTGGAAGGTCTGCCATCCGAGGGCTTGCACCAGTACCGATCGTTGATCTGAAACAGTCCCCAGTCCACGGAATTATCCACATTGCTTGGATTGATAGCCTTTGTATTGAACGAGCTCTCGCCCTCGACTAGGCACAGCCAATCGGCTAGCTCGTTATAAGGCACCCCGTTCCGATAGAGCTGTCGAGCTAGGCTACATTTCTTCACTTGGCGACCTTTAATCGTTCTCGCACCTAATGCGATCAGTAAAGAGAGCAACAGATAAACCGGCCACGTTTTTGGCATCTTCTTGTGAAATGTGGATTGGCATTGTGATGCCCGGCTTATATAGTCTTTTGGCTGGCGACTTTCGAATAGCTGCCCAATCTAATTTTTGACAACTGCCCACTTCAACAACTTTCAAGTGGACCCACACTTAAGCATAATTAAGTACACTAGCCTACAAAAGCTTGACGTTCTTTGATTTCAATGCTTTTAATTCTAAATTGTGATCAGAGCCTAATTCAAAAATTGTGTTAGTCTCTTTTAATTGTTTTATTGGTTTATTGAGTCTTAATTGTGTGACTTGCTGATATATGGAGTGGGAACTATTCGGCGTTTGGATATAAAGAACGCTTTCAGTTTTTGAATATCTGAATCTTTTGTATACATACATTGATTTATTGATTTATGTTATATTTGTTGTTTATTTTTTTTTTTTTTTTTTACTTTATTGTATTGTTTTTTTTTTTTTATGGTATTATTCAACATTTCAATAATCCTCTTGAGAGTTGTCGGCGCCTCGTGTTCCTCCATAAATGGAGAGCACTTGTTGAAATAAAACAATCGAAAATGTTATTCAACTTGGAAGCAAGTATTTAAATAAAGTTGTATAAAAAATCGTATGCAATAATACAAAACGGGAACTAAAACTAATATACTTTTGGCATCTCCTGTGGCGCCATGGGCCTCAGCTCGCTTTCGGCCAGCTCGGGCGGCACTTGATATTCACTTTTGGGTAAATACTGCCGTTTCCGGGACAACGGACGGAGTACAATGTGCGCCACGCATGTGCAGATGGCAGCTATGGCAAAATACTTGAAGCTCTCACGTCCGCCCAGCCTCTTAAACATAATGCCCCCAATGAGTGAGCCAATGGAGAAGCCCAGCCCATCGTCCATGCCAGCCATGAGGCCTTGGACCGTGGCTGAGGTGCCGGGCGGGGCCACGGCCGAGGCATAGGCCACAATGCAAGTGTAGCAGAGGGCGTAGGTTACGCCCTGGAAGAACAGCTCCACGCCTACTAGATACCAGGGATTCGGTATCCAGGAGATGAGCGACAGCCGCACTGCATAGAAGAAGAAGCACATGCTCATGCAGTGCACGTAGCCCAGTTTCTTGATAATCTTTCCGCTGTAGAAGAAGAACGGCACCTCGCCCGCCAGACACTCCGCTGCCACGACGAGGCCTTCGATGAGCTTGATGTCCGCCATATAACCCGTCTGAGCGGCCACCTCTTCCACATGCCAGAACATGAAGTAGATTATGAACGAGTCAATAATGCCGGCCATTGTGGCGAAGAACAAGAAGGTTACAATCGGTGGCTGACGCACCAGCTGCCAGACATCCGCCCAGATGGACTCGGAGCCGCCCAATTTGGGCAACTTTAACTTGGACACGCTGAACAAATCCAGCACACTAAACACGCCCATTATAATTAGGGCGGGCGTAAAGCTCTTCACTGCATCCGTTGTCCACAGGTTGACCACAACTCCGGCGATTAGCGCGGTGACTCCAAATCCAATGGTACCCCAAACGCGCTGGGCTCCATATTTACTCTGCTCTGCCTCGCCCAGCATATCAAAGCAGCAGGCATCCGATATGGAATTGGTCACATTGAAGCCAATGGTGCCAATGAAGAGCATGGCAACGAACAGCCAGAACGCTCCACTGCCGTAGACACAGCTATCTATGTGCTTCAGCTGGCAGGTGAGGGAGGTGTTGCTCCAGTAGCTGGCCATTTTCAGCTCAGTGAGGCAAATGAAGTAGCTTTCGTTGCCATATTGCAGATTGGGGCTGGCATCCAGGTTAGCCAGAGCCTCAGGCGCCGCTATCAATGCCTGAAAGATGTAGTCGCCCTGGCTGCACTCAGCCTCGTGCGCCGCCTGACAATGAGCATCGGCGGCATAAATCTCTGGCGGACAGTGGAGCGGCTCCGCTGTCAATGTCACTGGCCACTCCACGCTCGTTTCGTTCAGCTCAATGGGATGTGGTGCATTGGGCAGAAAATAGAAACCGCCATAGGCCAAGGTCATGATTACAATCAATGCCATAAAGATGATCTTGCGCAGGTGCTGTAAAGTTAAGAATATTATTAAAGCCAGATATTTGCAGGGCTAATCGACGTACCATAAAATAATCGGCTAAAAAACCAACTAGCGGCTTGGCCAACACATAGAGTACCGGCAAGACGGCGGTTATATAGCCCATTATGTCCGGCGGTATGCCAATCTGTTTGCCTATCACCGAGAGCTGCGGCAATATGGGACCCATGGCTATTCGATTAAAGATCTCATTAGCATAACAGCAAACTAAAACAGATCCAAACTCACCCGCCATAAAAAAGAAGAAATGCGCCTTAATAGGCAGCAGGCGTCTGTTTATTGACACCATTGTCTCAGCAGTACAGAATATCCACTACATATACATATATATGCATGTACGACCACTAACTAGAAGACGGTTCACAATACTATATCACAGTTTGATGACTCCATGCACCGGCGTCGTAATCTTTATTGCTTTCCCTGCCCGCTGCCCTCACAAGACCATAGTAAGTGAGCAGCGATCGACTCGATCCGGAGGCTGTGGGAATAAGTGTAGACAAATTGTAAACATAATGTTGCTATGGACGCACTGAACACAGAAACTTATCTTATCGCAGCTACAAAGTGCTCACTGTAACATAGGGCTAGCATAAAATTGTATAGAGATAAAAATGTATTTGCTAAAATTACCTGAAATATATCTGAGTTTTTGTGTAATTAATAAATTACTTTTATAATTTAATGTTTGCTCTTAAAGACGTGCAAATCTTATCTCTGGCACCTGAATAGATATTTGACATAAACAAAAGGCGTGTTCTATTATGGAAATACGGCTTGTCAACATGGAACGTCTAGAGTTTATGGCACTAAAAACCGTTAGATTGTAAGTTAAGTAATGCCAAGTAATAGGAAAATATGTCTATATAGGTTAACAGCCCAAGTGTCTAAGCAACAAGAGGCATCCTTTTAAAAATTTAATAATTTAAAGATAGTGTGCATATAAAATAAATTGAATATTCATGTCATAATTTTATATTATATTCCAATTGACTTTATTACTTAAAATCAGGGACCGCAAATAAGTGTTACGCATTTAAAAAAAATTGAGGCTCAAAAGTATTCCCAAAAAGAGAGAGGAAAACACACATAAGGATATTTTTTTATGGCGAGTTCAAAAAAAGGATAAACTTTTATTGGTAATTTGTTATAAAAAAATTATTTTTAATTATTAAAATTGATTTTTATGATAAAAATCAAAAATAATTATTACAAAACAATTTTATATAAAAATCAAATCATAAGTCTTATATTTAATTTTTATTATAAAAATCAAAAATAAGAATTATGATTTGATTTTTATTATAAAAATTGAAAATAAAAATTGAATTGAAATATCTCTTGAACTAAAAGAGCTAGATCATATATTTATACATATATATGATCTACGCATTAATACCTTTAATTTGATGTATAATACGTATGTAAATATGTACATGTATATGCGCATATACATATATATTTAATTATCTGCTAGACTCTTGCCCATTGCACTCGCCCTGTGCACTTACCTGTAGCTATTCAGCAGGTAATGTGAGGGGGAGACAGAACAAATATAGCATAATCACTGTACATATATATGTTTATGTGTATATAGATGTATTATTGTCACATTTCCCAAATTAATGATAAAGAGTATTGCAAGCAACATTCATAGTGAGGATCTAGCCAAAAGCTTGGAGAAGCGTGAGGAAATATTAACAACAAATGAAGTCATTCTCTCTTCAATTTATTTGGATCCCAGAAGTCGGCGGATTCTTCTGAAGAATCCCCTTCAGCTGGTGGCAACCAAAAATCATTTGGTAGGATTGATGCGCCAAATACTTGCCTTAAATAAAAAGGTGAGCCTAATAGATAGGACGATGGATTTTTGAACGCCTATTTGAACTCCACTGAGCTTGCGTCTGACTGTAAAGAGTCTGAGGAAGAAGACGAACCGGAGCTCAAATTGGCCAGAACCGAGAGGCCAATAGACTTAAACGTGGACATTATGTGCTATTGGGAGGGCATTTTCTGCTCTTAAGCTTGTGCTGACAGATTTAAGGTCTAACCTTAGTGCAGATTCTATAAAAAAAAAACCGGGTATAATAATGTTCTTAAAACTAAATAAATAGTAAACTTATACTAAGTGTTATATCTTTGAGTACAGGGGAAGGTGACAATAATACATCTATATACACATAAACATATATATGTACAGTGATTATGCTATATTTGTTCTGTCTCCCCCTCACATTACCTGCTGAATAGGTACAGGTAAGTGCACAGGGCGAGTGCAATGGGCAAGAGTCTAGCAGATAATTAAATATATATGTATATGCGCATATACATGTACATATTTACATACGTATTATACATCAAATTAAAGGTATTAATGCGTAGATCATATATATATATAAATATATGATCTAGCTCTTTTAGTTCAAGAGATATTTCAATTCAATTTTTATTTTCAATTTTTATAATAAAAATCAAATCATAATTCTTATTTTTGATTTTTATAATAAAAATCAAATATAAGACTTATGATTTGATTTTTATATAAAATTGTTTTGTAATAATTATTTTTGATTTTTATCATAAAAATCAATTTTAATTATTAAAAATAATTTTTTTTAATTTATCAAAAAATAATAATTATTTTTTAATTTTTTCCTATAAAAGTTATAATCGTTACGGTCCCTGCTTAAAATATACTTTTAAATGTCAAATTTTAATGTTCATAATTTAAAATTAAATAATATATATTTTTATATTTAAGATTTAGCATTATTTTAAATATTTAAATAAATATTAAATATTAAATAAATATTTTTTTTATTTTTTATTTTTAAATTATTATTATAATTTTTTATTTTTGTATTTATGTATTGTATTGTATTTTTTTCTATTTATTCCTTTATTTTCATTTTACCTTTTGCATAAAATTAAATTTGCATTTTTTCAATTATAACCGACTAGAAATTTTTTTGTTAAAGCTTTATACATTGCTTAATTTATTCATTTAGTGAAACAATATATATTAAACTGCT